GTTGCATAAGCCATTGAGACAAGTCACAGACTTATTATCCCGAGCACATACTTGGGTATGGGCGCTTGGAAGACTTGTTGCTCTCTTGTCGCGGATCCGGCTCTTTCCAGACCGACTGTCAGGGTTTTCTTTTGGTGGAGGAGGTCCTTGCACCGCACTGAGTCTAGGACTCAGGGGCGGGGGCTTGGAGTCCCAGTTTGGACGGGGACCTGGACACCCGGGACAGGAGAGTAATGGGTTGGTCCTACTTGTGCCTTGGGTACAAGCGGGACGTATGTTTTTGGGGTACCCAGCTGGAGGCATTGATTCACGAATCGCTGGGCAATCCGGTACGGCTTGTTTCGTGTCTAGCACCGTAGTAAGAACTAAAAGATGAAAGATGGAAGGTAAAGGAAATCTGATTGCTTACCACCTGCTTAAAAATAGCACAGGTGCTTACATAGAATGGTTAGTTAATGAACCAATGCGGTTTTTAATAAAAATTGAATATAAGGACGCACGCTCAGTAATGCTTCCTGCAAACGAAATAAACCCACAAGCTAGATAGCCTTGCATATCCTTGGAGTCTTTTTTTTCTCTTGCCGGGTAAGTCTTGCTGAGTACAATTGAGTACTCAGGGTTTTATTCTCCCTGTTGCAGGTGACAGGTGGAGACTAAAGCTGATCATTGTGTGTGGATTCCTCCTGGTGGGCTCAGAGAGGGATTCCTTTACGCTGCGATCATAGTTTTTATTTGTAACTCCTACTAATTGTTTTCTAAATAAAAGTTGCATAATCTGTTGTCGTAGTTTATATATCAAGACTTCATCATGCCATGAATAGCTATTTATTTCCGCTGTAATTCTGATCACATGTTTATATTTCGCTGATAACTTAAATTGTTTATATCTCTGATAATATGATTACTTTCCGCTGTTATAATAATAAATATTATACTCTGATGTTGTATTAAAGTGATGTAAGAAATGGTTAAGAATGATGTAAGCTTTATTATCTCATTTGTGATCCTGATGGTAAAAATGTGGATTTTTGGGTTCTCCCATGGGGTGTGCTCGACGGAACCGAGTAATTTAGTGTTCTCCCTTGAGTGCTTAGTGTCTAATAGAAGACGAGCACTCCTGTGAGGCATTACATTAGGCGGTTCTGCCACATTTTGTTACCTACTCTCTATTTCTTTTTCGATGTGTTTGTCTCCACATGTTGTGCATAAAGGTAAATAGGAAACAAGTGTGGGGGAAGCACACCACGACAACAGAACAAAATTCGCTCGCGAAAATCATGAAATTCAGGAAGTAATGGACCAAGAACCACGTCAACCAAGGATGGACCCAAACATGCTCCGGAGCAGGCCGCCCAGTCTTCCCTATGGGCCGGCCGGCTCACCCTAGTGGCCCCATGCCTCGCGCTTCGTACATAGTCAGGTTTGCGGCCCATATGATCTATTTTCATCTATTATGCTTTCTGTTTCAAACCGAATTGAAAATCCTTTGATAAAACAACTTAAAACCTGAGGAGAAGATTATTTCAGTTATGACTAAAGGATAGACTCACATAACATTTTTCCTAGAAGTCATGTTACTGTTGGAAACTTATTATTAGGGACCCCATGTTACTTAAGTTGTTGTGGAATGAGATATAATAGAATAATGAGAACTTGATTCTTGATGTCTCGTTATTGGAGAATTTTATTTCAAAAAGTAAAATGAGTAGCTATACCTCTCCTTTGTGGTAAAGCAATATCCTACCACAGCCATACATAGACTTGGAAAACCTTCTACATATATTAGTTGCTATTGTGTTGAGTTTGGTCAAACCTTGTGACCCTTGTTGAGAAACTTATCATGCTCTCAAGATCAAGATCACGTACACTCCACATATATGCGTTGCTCCTACACTGGGAGTACGCAACACATGTTTTCCATCCACCCAGAAATGTTCTACTCCTACACTAGGAATAGACACAAAAATATGATTGTTAGGATAAATGCTCCAAGTTCTTGTAAATGTCTCTCTTGAAAAGTTTCAATTACAGAAAAAGAGGCATGGGCTATGCAAGAGTTATTCATAAAAGAAAGAAAAAGTATTGAAAAAATAGATAAGTGTCCGAGATATCTAAAATAATGGGTACTCAGATGCCCATCTAGAAAAAAGAAGAAAGAAAAAAATGAATAAGATAGCCCATGTTTTCTTGCAAATGTTTTCTAAGTTTCAAACAAGAGAGATATGTTTCAAGGAGCATAGTAGAATTAGGATAGCCACCATATACACACATATGCACATCTTGATCTAAGAGTATGACATTTTTCTCCTTGTATCCTTGTTTTGACTTTACAATATATGCAAAGCAAGTAGGTTTTCATATTCATCCCTACTTGAGCTCCATAGAAGCTTTTAGAAGTAGGCAAAAAGAAGGCAAAGTCATTAATGCCTTGGCGAGGATCCAAAAATGTCACATATATAGAATGATTTGAGGGTACCACAAAAGGAGAAGGTAAACTATGTTTTGTTTTTAAAAATATTAAAATGTTTCTCCAATTGACTTGACTGAAGGAAGATGGTGATCTATTTCAAGCTGTTCCATTCTTCAACCACCAAAAGTTTCATGGTAGACACTTTGAATCATGCAGTGCATGTATGACTGGGAATGGTTTTATGTTGATGTCTTGTCCTAAGGTTATGTCTTGAGTAATCCATCCTTTTATCGAGGACGAATAAAAGCCAAAGTGTGGGGGAATTTGTTGACGGTAGTTAACACCAATCACAAACCGTCAATATTCCTTGCATAAATAACTAAAATGGATCACCAACATAGACTTAGGGGTTTTAACTGACAAATTCCACGAGTTTTGGTGAATTTATGTTTCCAGCAGGATTTAATCAGAAAATCGCCGAGAAGGACCTATTCGTCAAAAGAAATCCCATATTTCCATAGGATAAACAACGTGGGAAGACTCTAGAAGACTCCAGGAGGCTCTCCACCGAAGCGGAGCCTGAGCCCCTGCCCGGTGGGGCCCCCTCGTTGCTATGTCCGTTCTCCACCACCTTAAGGATTGTATCTCTGCCGTTTATTTAAGTCGATTTGATCCAAAGTCTCAGGATTGACGCTCCAGCCTATATATACCTGCCTACACCCCCAGGGCATGCCAAGTTAGATCCTGAGAGCCTGAGGGCCAGAAACCCTAATCCATATTTCGACCAAGATCAGAGCTAGCAATCAAGAAAAGATTAGTCCTCGTAGGATCTAGTCTTGTAATAGAGATAGAGAGATAGAGTGAGAGGGAAGAATTTTAGAGGAGTCTTGGCATGTTGGTGCTCTCTTTATGGCTTGTACCCTAGCGGAATCAAGTTCTTATTGAGCTTGCTTCTGAGATTTCTCTGGTAATCGACTTCTAATTCAAGTAAGCATCTTTTTCATATTGTTCTTCAGGTTTGCGAGTAAGCATCTTTTTCATATTGTTCTTCAGGTTTGCGACTCTCTTTTGAGTCCTTTAATCCTTATAGCTCCTGGGTTAAAGTAGTATTCATAGTATAAGCGTGGTGCTTAGACTCGGTTACTCGTGGATGTACCATACTTTCTGGATCTGTTGTAGCTCGCGAGGGTGACTCTTATAGCCTCGTTGAATCCTTTGTAGTCCACCCCCCGTTAGTAGGCCTAGCAGGACATTGTTGCTATAAGAAACATACTATGTCTGTGTTTTCTCTAGTAATATCCCCAGAATTGAATAATAGAAGACAAAACTTACCGAAGTAAGAATTCTAGAAGACCTTAGCTATCTCCCCTACGCTCCTATTATCTTGCTTTGATTGTGAAGTTGGGTTAAGTTAGATTTGGTTATTCTCACATATGTTTCCTCGAGCTCGATATAAAATTGGGTACTCCCAGTGAAGTGCTACATCGGTATAATATCTGTGCGCTTGCAGATTATTCTGTGTGCATTAATTTATACCAACAGTTATGTTGGTGTGAATTATATGCGTGAAGATTAAGGACAAACTAGTTCCAAGTGTCATTTAGAGTTGATAGACATTTAGAGTAGTTTTACGATGAGATACAATACGTAAAAGTCCTACTACATATATAGTTATTAGTCTCGTAATGAGACAAAAGACTACCACACACAATTCCTATGACATAAAATCTGGTTTTCAGCATCGGATGCAACATCCACCTCTAATCATGCTTTTACAGAAATGGGGATTTATAGGGACAGCCATCCAACAGAGCGGTCAACGTCCCTACAAATTGAATAGAAAACAAAAAAAAATACGCCCTACCTGTGCTTGCGAGCCATGAGCTCGGCTCATGCGCCGCTTGCAGCTGCACGCATTGTCATGCCCCACTACTCTCATGTCTGCCCAACGCCATGTGTACCCCGCCCGGGCAGGTCTTGCCTGAGCAGTGGCGAAGACAGGGTTAGAGGGGGGCCGACCCCCCAAACTTTAGTACTTTTCTATTATAATTCTTAATGAACTAGCTAAATTATGATGTAATTAAAGGATAAATGACCCACCCTATTGACATTTGACCCCCCAAAATCTAGATCCTAGCTTCGCCACTACGAGGGGGCGGTGCCATGAAGTTCATGCCCACACGCGGCAAGGTGGAAATGGGGAGCTCACGCGTGTAAGTGGCGATGGCTAGGCGAAGCTAGGAGGAGATAAGTGAGAGAGAAAGGTTCGACCATGCGGGTGAAAATTTGAACAATAGTGTGGATTGAAGGGATAAGTGGTCTCTATAGACGATTTTTGCTCGAAAGTTTTGAATAACTTATTTCTAGGTGTGATTGGTCAACCACCCTATCTAAAGAGTGGCTACAAACGAGAGCAGTGAAACTAGTTCACAATCTCTTTTACTGAACACGTATATCCGGCAAAGAATAAGTGAACAGTGTAGTTGTTACACTCCTAGTATTTTCATCCCCCTGATTTGTACAAGTAGAAAAATACAATAAACTTATGCGCGCACACACCGCGGGGTGGCCTCGATCACAGCAATCACAATCAGTGGATGCATATACCGGGCACCTTCCAGCGCACGGGCCCCCGTGCGCGGTCCTCGTCGTCCATCTGCCGGTACGCCCGCCACTCCTGCAGCAGGTTGCCGAGGTCGTGCAGCTTTGCGCCCAGGCCAACGCAGCAGTTGGCGTGCATGGTGTAGAGCGTGTTGAAGTCGCGGGTGTTGTTGCAGAAGCCGGCGTTGTGTTCCGTGTCTAGGAACTGGATGCGCAGGCCGCGCGTGGCCACCAGCTCCACCTTGATCTCGTTCAGCACCTGCTGCTCGTGCTTCCCCGGGAACGCCTCCCGCGCGCCGTGCCACGCCTCGAACGCGCCCACCGTCCGCCGGCTCGACTTGACGTACAGGAACCCCGTGTTTGGCAGGTTCATCGGGCTGTATGGGTCGCCGAAGTAGAAGTCCGACGAGGTCACCATGTGCGCCGCCACAGACATCCGCTCGAACGGGTTCCGGAACCACAGAATGTCCACGTCCTGCACGCAGCGTGTGACAAATGGTAATATCAGAAGGGTGGTTTTGTAAAACATGTTCAGTTTCGCTTTCTCTGGTCTGTTGTTCCTGGATGGAACTATTCCAAGTCAAACTGCTTCGCGCGTGCGTAGGTACCGTGAAGAGGAAGTTGTAGCCGAGCTCGAGGATCCTCTGCTGCAGCCGGACCTTGCTCCAGACCAGGTCGATGTAGTCCTTGCTCGCGAACACCTTCTCGCCGGAGAGGTTGTGCGCGGCGGCCGCGGGAGGAGGTAGCAGTGCGGGTGCACAGCGCGGCAGTGCTCCAGCGCGCCGCCGTCGAGGGCCACCACCAGGAGGTGGTCCACGAAGTGCGCGATCCGCTCGCCGCTGCGGAAGCTCTCCAGGAACAGGTCCAGCAGCGAGTCCTGCGCCGCCCACGCCTCGTTCACCGACGTCATGATCACCGTCCGGTCCTCGTCCGCCACCGCGCGCAGCAGCCGTTCCAGCTCGTCCTCCTGCTCCGCCGCCGTAACCTGCTGCGTGCATGATCGAGCCGGACATGAACAAAAGACGATGTCGTCAAGAAACTGAAATCGAGCAAAGACTGCAGCTTGGCGATCGGAATTTTGGAACCGGCTGGGATATGATGTTTAAGAATTAACCTTTGAGTCGTCGTGAGCAGGAGCGGCAGGTTCTCTTGCCAGGGGAGCAGGAGTCTCCTGGACGGGAGCATCATCGAAGCCCGTGGTTCCATTGGCCCAGGTCGATATCCCCGTGAACCGCCCTCCGCTCATCGCCGTCGTCAGGAAGAAGAGCAGGACGGCGGCGGCGGACGCCCCGAGGATGAAGGACACGAGCTGGTGAAGCGCGTTCTGCTGGCTGCCCATCGGAACACCGCTGCTGCCAACAACACCGGTCGCCTGCAGCCCAGAAGCCAAGAACAGAGACGAGGCGATCGAGGTGGAGTGTCGTAGAGGGGAACTGCTCTTGGTCTATACTTAACTCTTTGGCTCGCTTCAGTTTCCTTTTAAAAATCCAATGTAAGAGAAACTTGACAGTTTGGTGTTTATTACTAGGGTGTTGATCCTGTCAAAGGAGGTGACATTAGCCGACGACGACGAGACCGGTTCTGGTGTGCTACATCTACACCACACGCGGTGAAAATCGAAATGTATTCCCTACGTACCAAATTATAAGTTATTCTAAAAATCTTAGAGAGTCAAAATATCTTAAGTTTGACCAAATTTATATGATAAGATAATAATATTTATGAAATCAACTAAGTACTATTAAATTCTTTATTAATTATATTTTTGTAGTATACCTATTTGATGTCATAAATCTTTGTAATTCTAACTATAATTTTAGTCAAACATGAGATTCTTTGACTCTCCAAGATTCTTGGAATAACTTATAATTTGGGACGGAGGGAATACTAGTAATTAGGACATCGATCGATGTGTTTTTGGTTTTGGTAAACATCAAAGAAAAAACTTGCTCTTCTTCCGTAAAAAATTCTTCTAAAAATACCGAACCCAATCGTTGCATAAAAGTATGTTTCACTGTCTACATGTGCATTTCCAACGTTCGTGTGGAGAGTCAAACGTGTCTCGGTCGGCAATCAAGGGAACGTTCTGTGCTCTTCAGTAATCTAATCTGAGCCTGAGAACTGTTGATCCATGTGCATCTGTATATCGCCGCAAATCAATACCGTTCATTAATTATTTAGAGTGCAAAATTTGCTCAGCAGTCAGCGCTGTAGCGTGTACTACTGCACATTTTCTGGAATGGTAGAGTAATAACAGTTCTACAGTATATGAGTGCAGATTAGATCTCCTTGTGGCCATTTGACACCTCAGTTTTTTTTTTTTGAATGGACCGTTTGACACCTCAGTTACCTGTACTAATAAACACTCTGGGATCACTAAACTATTGCCTTCTCTAAAATATAATCAGCTTGTTCGTTTGTTGGTTTCAGTCAAGACTTATCAATCAGCCGACAGTGTTTTTTTCTCACAATAAACCAGCACCAGCCGGGCTTATCAGTCTAAAAACCAACGAGTGAACAGGTCCAAATATTGTTCAACGCTTCAGGGTACCATGCGTGTACGTGCATGATCAATGATGTCGATGTCGATATCGATCCACTGGTGATTCATTACTAGTAGTATTTTCAGTGGCTTTCGCTAACAACTCTTCAGTCGTACAGATTTCACGTGGTACATCCCAGGCTGAGCGAAGCCCTGCTATCTATTATTCTATCTCAAAACAATATGCATAATTGCCTTACCGGGGGCGATCGAGCTGCTTCCTTCTTCCCTGTGTTAATATAAATAATAAATAAATTATTACTTGATTCTGTCAAACTGAGATGGCGACGTGTGCTGACCGAAATGTTGGTGACCTGTTACTAACCTTCCAGGGCGATGGCGATCTCTTTTTTCCGCCTCACGGATCACTGACCATGGAAAGTAGCGGTAGAAAGTCGTGATTGACTGCTTTCGGATCCCGAAGGGTGAAAAGGCAGTACGGTTTGGTTTGCCTCGATTTTACCTGGCATCGCCTCGGTTCAGTGGTTCTGAACTTCTGATTTCGTGAAAAAACGAAGACCGTCGGGAGGGGGATTTTGGCGATGAAACGGGGCTCCTTCCTGAACCATGACTGAAATCTACTAGCCAACTGCCCACGAAGGGGTGCTAAGGCCAGGATTTTGGCCGGGTGAATGACAAGTGTGGGCCGAGGGCGACTACTTTTGTTGTCACACGACTACTGGACCACAGCACTGGTAACCTGTGCTTCAAACCGGGTGTTTAGTCTGAGAAATTGGTTGGTCCGTATTCTTCTTATCACGCTTATGTTCTGTTTATTTATCATTTGTAGAATACAATGTACTTCATCTACCCTAAAACTTTTTTTTTCGCGACTGTACATTGAGGGTCTGAGGCACGTTTCTCATTAAGAGCAAGTAGAGTTTAAAAAGGTACAAAGGACTAGCAAGTAATCCTACAACAGCGGTCCCAAAGACACAGCGGTCCCAAAGACACAACGAGCAGCGAGAGAAAAACAGACCCTTGTTCATCGAACTTGTGAAGCTTGACTTTTCCAATCCTAATAGGTTTTATATAACTGACCAAGAAGCTTACTTTGCTTGCTTACGTGCAGAACTGAAGAGCAGTGAATCCTTAACTTTTCACATGCGGCACTAGTTACTCATTCATTTTGTTGTGTGGTTATGTAGACTATCCGTGGCTTGGAGACTTATTTATCGACCATGTCATAGATTTTAATCCGTCTAGGAATTAAAGTCCGTAGTCCGTATTGACACATGGTGCTCTAATTCGTATGTGTATGCTGCCGTGGAGGGCCACGCGCAGCGGGTGGCAGTGCCGCCTCGTGCTGTCGTGCAGTCGTGCGCGCCGCGGGAGTCGCGGTCCTGCTCCCAAGTCAAGCGCCGCCCTCGTACTGGGCTTCTGGCAGTGGACGGCCCATCTCGTAGCCTTTCTCAGCTGAACGTCCACGATGTCGCCCTGCTGCAGTGCTGCTGCTCCCGAGCGGCGTGGGGCCCGCAAAGAAAAAAAAATCTAATTCCCCAACCTCCCGGGACCTTTCCCGCAACCGCGGGACGGAGAGAGAAGCTTTACATTCCCCAACTCTATATAAATATTGTTGTTTATTTTCTTGTGAAGGATTGTAACGGGCGACCAGAGGGGGGTGAATGGTTGCGGAAGCCAAATATTTCTAACAAAAATTTCTAACCCTTCTCCTAAACACAAAACCTGAATAAATCACGTTTTTCAAATCTGGACAGAACTCTATGTACCTAATAAATCTGATGTGGACGAAAATCCGTAACTCCGATCGAGCTAAAAATTTGTCAGATTAAACTAGATGAAATTACGAAACTAACCCAACTGGAATCGGACTTACGGATCTTGGGATAAAAATAAAACAAGCAGACTATGTCAGATGCTGACGAGAATTGTAAAGAACCAATCGAGATGCACAACATCAATCATTACAGATGAAAGATTAAATTGAGTAATTGAACTTACAAAAGTGCATCTAGCCTCCGCCCGAACATCCTCCCTCTCTTAATCGGAGAGATCAACAAAAACCTCTCACTAGAATTCAAACCCTAGGCTAGATCGGAGAGAGGAAAATTGAACCATGGAACCCCAGGGCATGAGTACTGTTCACGGGTACTGTTCACGCGTGCATAGTAACTCGCCGGGAGCCCATAACGTCCTACCTTCCCAACCCTAGGTGCCACATATTTATATCCCCAAAGGGTGGCACGACCTATTTTCACATAACCCCCTACGCTAAATAAATCCAACGTAGGGGCGTAAATTCCAATTACGTCCTCCATGGCAAATTCCGCGATGTCCGCGATCCCTCCATCTCCGCGATGTGATCCTCGCGATGTCGCCGCACGACCATCCGAAATCGTATCGCGATCGCCAAAATTTTCCATCTTTGGCTAACGCCAGATGACGGGCCAGGCGTCGAGACGATGCATGGCTTTGTGGCTCAACCAACCGAACCCTGATTTTGTGGCATAATCCGGAAACCTCCTCGACGTCCTCCCGCCATGTAGCAGTGCATGAGCGTACACGCGACGATCGCCTATCCCTCGAACGCAAGCCTCGATCCGCCCTTCTCCGCCTCCGCTTGTTTTTCGACGCTGCATCCTATCTTTCGTTCTTCACTGTCAGCCGCGATGTACCTTTTCTCCACTGTCACTGCAACCACACAACCGCCAAGAGACACGTCACACGCACACCGTGTTGTCAATCGCTCATCACCAAGGTGCTAGCACACCGGCATCTCAATCTCCCCCTTGATGAGTGCATTGACAACACCACACCGCACAAATTTATTGGAACTAAAAAAATAAAAAGAAAGAAAAAGAAACAATCTTGATCCCCAAAGACATGGGCTAGCAAAAAAGCTAGGCTCGACACAATCAAGACAGAAATTTACTCTCCCCAAAGTGAATCAAAAGCCATATCAATCTCCCAAAAGCAATCTCAGCAGCAAAACAGCAAAACTCACAAATTTCAGCAAAACTCCCCCTGCAAGAATGAACCAGCAAAACTCCCCCTGCAAGAATGAACGAACTCCCCCTGCAAGAATGAATTTGTGCGCTACTCACTCTCCCCCTTGTTGACAAAGCACTCCATCAAGATAAAATGCAAGGAACCAATTTAGAGAAAAGCATGTGAGAAAGCACAAGTTGAAGCTTCTGAGACATATGCCAAATACTTATAAAAGCTAACCAACAACACTAGCTATCCAGAGAAGGAACAATATAATGCCATGACCAATAAAAATTTAGAACTGAAATCTGTTTGAAAACTAATGTGCCAGGCAAAAACATGCACATTCCAAACTCAGTGCAAAGCTGAAGACAAAACATATAACGAGCTCACACGACAGATACACAGCTTCAGTCAAAGTTCACTACAATGCCCACAAATGCATTCACTTGTCATATTTAATTCTGACTTTTGTGAGCATGATAAGCAGGGATATGGGAAGCAAGAGTTGTGCCCAGCCAGTTTGTTTAATTTTGTTTATGAGCGAGAACCAGCAGGGACATGGGAAAAACAGAGTTGCGCCCATATTTAAATTTTCAGTAAGGCAAGCAGATCATGAGCTAAATAGCAGAGATATGGGAATTCAGAGTTTTTGCTCACAACCATACTATGCACTCCCGAGTTAAAACTTGTATTGTGAGTTACATTTGCAGTGAAAAAACCATTAAAAGAAGCTGACTACCGAACCATGAGCAAGATATATGTCAAGTATTTAACAAGTCACTAGATCCACCAAGCATAGCCCAACATAATTTTTTAAGTATATATCTGTGCTGTTTTCAAAATAAAAATTGGTCAAGCAAAGCATTCAAACCTCTCCAAAAGCATCGATCGCAAACTAGCCAAAACAAGTATAAGGCATATGTAACTGAAGCAACTTACAATGATACTAGAATGGGTAACACACCCCAAACTCACCACGCAAACGTGCAAACGTGGTTTGATCGAGTGGTTTAGTCAGAATATCAGCAAGTTGCTGACTAGTATCAATGTATTTAAGCTTAATATCACCCTTCTCAGCATGATCCCTCAGAAAATGATGACGAACCTCAATGTGTTTCGTCTTAGAGTGAAGCACAGGATTCTTTGCAACACTTATAGCGCTAGTGCTGTCACACAAGAGAGGAACGCGAGAAAACGACAAACCAAAATCGCGAAGGGTAGCTATCATCCATAAAAGCTGAGAACAACAACTAGCAGCAGCAACATACTCAGCCTCTGTAGTAGATTGAGCAACATTAGATTGTTTTCTAGAGGACCAAGAAACAAGCGAAGAACCCAAAAATTGGCAAGTACCCGATGTAGACTTTCTATCCAAACGACACCCAGCAAAATCAGCATCCGAATAACCACACAAACTGAGAGTTGAAGCAGCAGAGTACCAAAGGCCAAATGCAGGAGTAAATCGAAGATACCTCATTATGCGCTTCTTCACTTTGACGGTGAGAAGTCCTGGGGACGCCAAAAAAACGCACACACATACACACAAAGAAAGTGTATATCGGCCTCGAAAGCGATCCAAGTACAAGAACGACCCAATCATGCTTCGATATTCCTTCTGATCCACGGGCTCTCCGTCCTCATCAGCATCCAAAGCAGGGCTAGTCGGCATGGGCGTAGAAATTGGCTTCGCATCATCCATCGCAAACTTCTTCAGGACATCCTTCGTGTACTTTCCTTGATGCACAAATGTACCTTCCGAAGTTTGTTTTATTTGTAAGCCAAGAAAGAAATTCAGCTCGCCCATCATAGACATCTCAAATTCTTTACTCATCACATCTGCAAACTTTTTCACAAGAGCATGAGAGGAACCACCGAAAATGATATCATCCACATAAATCTGAACTATTAAAGTGTCATTTCCTTGCCTGAGGAGAAAAAGAGTTTTATCAACTGAGCCCATTTTGAACCCGTTTTTAAGCAGAAAAGTTTTCAATCTAGCATACCAAGCACGAGGTGCTTGCTTCAAACCATATAAAGCCTTTTGCAACTTAAAAACATGATCAGGAAAATTGAGATGTTCAAAACCAGGCGGTTGTTTAACATAAACTTCTTCTTCTATAAAACCATTCAGAAAAGCACTTTTCACATCCATTTGATAAAGCTTATATCCACGTGAAGCAGCAAATGCAAGCAAAATACGAATGGCTTCTAAACGAGCAACAGGAGCAAAAGTTTCACCATAATCAATACCCTCTTTTTGAGAAAAGCCCTGAGCAACCAGCCTAGCTTTATTTCTAACAACATGACCATCTTCCCCTTGTTTGTTCTTAAAAACCCATTTAGTTCCAATTGGTTTACAAGAAGGAGGAGGATCAACCAAAACGCAAACCTGATTCCATGCAAAATTTTCTAACTCCTCATGCATGGCATTGACCCAGTTAGAATCAGATAAAGCATGTCCAACATCTCGGGGTTCAAAAGAGGCAACAAAGGCGATATCTTAAAGACACAATAATTTTATTTTTCATACCTCTACATTCCTTGTCGTGCGTTCATCCAAATTACCTATTATGTTCTTGGCGGGATGACAATTACAATGTGTCGTGGTCTTTGTATGTTTGAAATCGCCTCCCCCCTCAAGCTGCGGTAGGTACATGATCAGCGATCGGTGAAGCTGCAGGCTCTCATCAGAGATGTACGTGTCGGTGATGGTCCATCCTCCAAAGTGGTGGAGGGCGCCTGCTCAGGCTGGGCGCCAGGCTCCCCCTGCATTGTAGGCTGGGCATCATTGTCATCGTCGTCGTCACATCCATCTTCCTCTTTCTCATCCTCAAAAATATCCTGCCCGATCTCGTCATCACCTGCACACTCAAAAGCAGAAGAAAAACAAGGCATTGTCTCGTCGAAGGTGACCTCACATGTCTCATCGATGCGGTTAGTATCAAGATTAAGCACACGGTACGCTCGCCCTTGCAAGGCATACCCCAAAAATAACCCATCGGAAGAACGCGATTCAAATTTATCCAAATTTCTCTTTTTCAATATAAAACACTTGCAGCCAAAAACTCGAAAGTGGAAAACTTTGGGAGGTCGACCAAATCTCAACTCATAAGATGTTTTTCGCAGAAAAGCTCTCAGAAAAATGCGATTAGCAACATAGCAAGCGGTGTTGATAGCCTCACCAAAAAACGTCTAGGAGTTTTATGTTCATCAAGCATTGTCCTAGCCATCTCAACAAGCGTCACGATTTTACGCTCAACAACACCGTTACGGGAGGAACGTAAGGTGAGGAAAAGCGATGATCTAAACCTTGTTCTCGAACAAAAAGCTTTCATGCGAGAATTCTTGAATTTCGCATCGTTGTCCTTCGCGAATTGCTCTAACGGCATTATTTGACAACTCATTTTCAGACTTCGAACAAGATCATGAACATGTGAGAAAGCCTCATCCTTAGATTCCAAAAAGAACACCCATGAATATCGAGAAAAATCATCCACAACGACGAGCACATACCACTTCCCACAAAAGCAGACCGAACACGAAATTTGGACCAATGATGTCCATATGTAACAGTTCACCCCGGTCGTCTCGTCATCACCGAGTCACAGGTGCATGAGAAGCAACAACCATTTTCCATGTTTGCGGGAGCACAAATCAAATCCTTTTCAAACTTGAGTTTGGTAAACCATCAATTAAATCCAATGAACTCAAACGACAAAGCAAATCAAAGCTCAAGTGGCCCAACCGACGATGCCACTTCCAAATCGGGGGGAACCATGAGCAACTAAACAATGAGTTTCACCAAAAGATTTAGAAAAATCAGCTTTAAAAATCCGTCTAAAAGGAGAAATCTTGCAAACAAGGTTACCAGTGAGAATCAAGAACACGCGAATTTCCTTTCTTAAAACGAACCTCAAAATCATCCTCAAGAAGTTGTAAACAGATGACAAATTATAATGCAAATTCTTTACCAATGCGGACGTCCTTTAACGTGTATTTATCATTACCTTGATGCAGCCATGCGCCATTACCTTACCTTGACTTTTATCCCCAAAAGTGATGTTTTCCTTTACGCTCGTGGGGGTGAGGTGGAGAACCATTTATCATCTCCGGTCATATGGCGCGAACAACCGAGTCCATTATCCATATGTCCTCCTCGCCTCCAACCCGCAATCAACAACGAGAGCGAGGGTGAGCTAATGACTCAACACTGGGGTTAGGATAATGTAATGAAAACCAGTGCTGAGCCACTTGCTCAAAAGAAGCATTAGCAAAATCAAAGCTCTCAAAAAAACGATGAGAACCACGAGGGGGAATACGTGGTCTGTCATCCCGATGTTGTGCAAGAGCACGAGTACGTGAGCGAAAACCAGAAGAGCGAACAAATGGCTCATGTCTCAAAACAGGACGATCATGAGTACCACGTACATGGTACTGCTCACATCTAAAAACACGACGATCATGAGTACCATGTGTGGGGTACTGCTCACGTCGTTCAGCACGCATCCTCCGATAACAGAACTCATAAAGATGACCATCATGACTGCAAAAATCACAATGATAAAGCTTGCGTGCAGGAGCGAAAGAAGCCTCAGCATTAGAACTAGAAGCAACAAAAACAGGCTTAGCAAAATGATCACAAGAAGAACCATTTGGCTTAGTATTTTGTACACCCTTGAAGTGTTTTGGCTTAGGCACCCAAACCTGCTTTTTAGGAGTAGATCTAGATGTCTCAACCAGCAACCCATCAGAGGTGACACCTGAACCCTTCCTAGGAGGTGGTCCAGTATATTTAGCCAAAGGTGGATTCTTCTCATCAACAGGCGGTCCACTTTTTTCACCAAAAACATGTTTCAAGTCATAACCGGGACCAAAACGCTCACCCCGTTTAATTTGAGCAATAGTCATACCAATTTGAGGCTCACGAATAGAACACCAACCAAGAATAGTTCTCAAATGCTTATTTTCTTCTTCCAAATCAGCAAGTTTGCCCCTTAAATCATTATTTTCAACAACAAAATTAGGACAAGTTAGGCATGAAGGAAGAACCGGACAAGTGTGTTTTTCCAACTCAACAATATGTGATTTAGCAACATTTAATTCAGATCGTAAAGTTGGACAAATCAAACAATCCGGCAAATCAGGACAAGTGTGTTCTTCAAAATTTTTTACCCGATATAAAGCATTATCCAAGTCAACTTTCAGAAGCGGGCAAGAAACACAAGTACCAAGCAAATTCGACCGAGAACGAAGTTCATTTAGTTCAGCATAAAGTTTATCTCGATCATCAACAATGAAAGAATACTTGGTTTGCAATTTAGAAAGCGAAATCATATGAATTGAGCATTCTTCACATTCATCAGGTTCAGCAGGATTAGATGCAGCATTTTTGAGAGTAGCTAGTTCAGCACAAGTTTTATCATAATCAGTTTTAAGTTTAGCCAACACTTTATTTTGCTTATGAACAATTTTAGTTAAATTAGCTATTCTTTGTTCTGCAGAAGTATCTACCTCATCATCAGAAGTTTCATCGTTGCTGTCGGTTGATGCATCACCCTCCAAGGCCATAGTACATATCCCACCATTGATGCCAGCATCAGTGATGAAGCAAAGTCCATCTGTCTTCTTGGGTGTCTCATCCTCGGAATCTGAATCGCTGGAGTCTGACGAGCCACCTGAAACATATTGTCCAAGAGAAGATAACAAAACATTTGCAGCCTTAGCGACTTGCTTGGCAGAGTATTTTTGTCCGCCTTTCTTCCATTGCTTATCCTTCTTCTTCTTCCTCTCCCTAAACTTCTCCTGGCGCCTGGAGGAGTTATTGCCCTGCTCAAAAGATCTCTGCTTGTTTGGGCAATCAGCAGCAAAATGTCCTCGCTCACCACAGTTGAAGCAGCCATCTGAACGTCTTCTATTACGCCTGTTGTCATACACACGCTTAAACTTGTTGGAGAGCAGTACAAGCTGATCATCATCTAGCACCTCCAACTCCTCATCTGTAACATGACACAAAGAAGACAAAGCAAAACTGGAAACATTTGGATTAGCATTAGTGTTAGTCTTATTTCTAGAAACCAAAGCCATTGGAACGTCAGAAGAAGAAGCAGCTGTGGGATTTTTCAATTTACGCTTAGAAACAATTTCAATCTCTTTTGATTTGAGCTTACTGTAAAGCTCATCAGTGGTGAGAGTCTCATAACCTCTGATTCAACGATCGCCTCAACTTTCATATCCCATTCATCATTAAGTGAATGTAATAATCTGAGAGCCCTAGCATGATCATCATAAGGCATATTGCTATTCATGGCCTTCATCTTATTAACAATCATTTGAAAACGTGCAAACATGTCATCAATAGACTCACTAGGCAATTGGCAAAAAGCATCAAACTCTTTTCGGTGAATCTCAAATTTTCGGTTTTTCACAGTGTTTGAGCCTTCATGATATTTTCTAAGTTTCTCCCAGATCTGATAAGCGAGATCTTCACTAGAAACCCGATCATATTCAGTTTTACAAATAGAAGCCTGTAAAATAGCAACAGCACGATGATTTGTTTCAAGAAGCCCGATCTCAGCGGCGTCAGTCGGTTCCTCAGCTGGAATCACATATGTGGCATTTTGTGTGATTTTCCATAGCTTCAGCGACTTGCCTTTGAGATAGTTGGTCATACGTGCCTTCCAGTAATCATAATCAGTCCCATCAAAAAACGGAGCGCGAACATCAAACTTTTCATTGGTCGCCATAGCTTTCAGCACCGATTAAGGTATAGAAAACCTAAACCGGCTCTGGTACCAATTGAAGGATCGTAACGGACGACCAGAGGGGGGGTGAATGGTTGCGGAAGCCAAATATTTCTAACAAAAATTTCTAACCCTTCCCCTAAACACAAAACCTGAATAAATCACGTTTTTCAAATCTGGACAGAACTCTATGTACCTAGTAAACCTGATGTGGACGAAAATCCGTAACTCCGATCGACCTAAAAATTTGTCAGATTAAACTAAATGAAATTACGAAACTAACCCAACTGGAATCACGTCAATCGGACTTACGGATATTGAGAAAAAAATAAAACAAGCAGACTATGTCAAATGCTGACGAGAATTGTAAAGAACCAATCGAGATGCACAACATCAATCATTACAGATGAAAGATTAAATTGAGTAATTGAACTTACAAAAGTGCATCTAGCCTCCGCCCGAACATCCTCCCTCTCTTAAACGGAGAGATCAACAAAAACCTCTCACTAGAATTCAAACCCTAGGCTAGACCGGAGAGAGGAAAACTGAACCGTGGAACCCCGGGGCATGAGTACTGTTCACGGGTACTGTTCACGCATGCATAGTAACTCTCCAGGAGCCCAAAACGTCCTACCTTCTCAACCCTAGGTGCCACATATTTATGTCTCCAAAGGGTGGCACGACCTATTTTCACATAACCCCCTACGCTAAATAAATCCAACGTAGGGGCGTAAATTCCAATTACGTCCTCCATGGCAAATTCCGCGATGTCCACGATCCCTCCATCTCCGCGATGTGATCCTCGCGATGTCGCCGCACGACCATCCAAAATCGTATCACGATCGCCAGAATTTTCCATCTTCGGCCAACGCCTGCCGCACGGGCGTCCCGGTACGATGCATGGCTTTGTGGCTCAACCAGCGAACCCCAGATTTTGTGGCATAATCCGGAAACCTCCCTCGACGTCCTCCCGCCATGTAGCCAGGTACAGTAGACGTACACCGCACGATCGCCTATCCCTCGAACGCAAGCCTCGATCCGCCCTTCTCCGCCCCCGCGGTTTTTCGACGCGGCATCCTATCTTCGTTCTTCACTCGTCGCCGCATGTACCTTGTCTCCACCTGTCACCTGCAACCACAACCTGCTAAGAGACACGTCACACGCACACTGTGTTGTCAATCGCTCATCACCAAGGTGCTAGCACACCGGCATCTCAATCTCCCCCTTGATGAGTGCATTGACAACACCACACCGCACAAATTTATTGGAACTAAAAAAATAAAAAGAAAGAAAAAGAAACAATCTTGATCCCCAAAGACATGGGCTAGCGAAAAAGCTAGGCTCGACACAATCAAGACAGAAATTTACTCTCCCCAAAGTGAATCAAAAGCCATATCAATCTCCCAAAAGCAATCTCAGCAGCAAAACAGCAAAACTCACAAATTTCAGCAAAACTCCCCCTGCAAGAATGAACCAGCAAAACTCCCCCTGCAAGAATGAACGAACTCCCCCTGCAAGAATGAATTTGTGCGCTACTCACTCTCCCCCTTGTTGACAAAGCACTCCATCAAGATAAAATGCAAGGAACCAATTTAGAGAAAAGCATGTGAGAAAGCACAAGTTGAAGCTTCTGAGACATATGCCAAATACTTATAAAAGCTAACCAACAACACTAGCTATCCAGAGAAGGAACAATACAATGCCATGACCAATAAAAATTTAGAACTGAAATCTGTTTGAAAACTAATGTGCCAGGCAAAAACATGCACATTCCAAACTCAGTGCAAAGCTGAAGACAAAACATATAGCGAGCTCACACGACAGATACACAGCTTCAGTCAAAGTTCACTGCAATGCCCACAAATGCATTCACTTGTCATATTTAATTCTGACTTTTGTGAGCATGATAAGCGGGGATATGGGAAGCAAGAGTTGTGCCAAACCAGTTTGTTTAATTTTGTTTATGAGCGAGAACCAAGCAGGGACATGGGAAAAACAGAGTTGCGCCCATATTTAAATTTTCAAGAAGGCAAGCGGATCATGAGCTAAATAGCAGAGAGATATGGGAATTCAGAGTTTTTGCTCACAACCATACTATGCACTCCCGAGTTAAAACTTGTATTGTGAGTTACATTTGCAGTGAAAAAACCATTAAAAGAAGCTGACTACCGAACCATGAGCAAGATATATGTCAAGTATTCAACAAGTCACTAGATCCAGAAAAGCAAGCATAGCCCAACATAATTTTTTAAGTATATATCTGTGCTGTTTTCAAAATAAAAATTGGTCAAGCAAAGCATTCAAACCTCTCCAAAAGCATCGATCGCAAACTAGCCAAAACAAGTATAAGGCATATGTAACTGAAGCAACTTACAATGATACTAGAATGGGTAACACACCCCAAACTCACCACGCAAACGTGCAAACGTGGTTTGATCGAGTGGTTTAGTCAGAATATCAGCAAGTTGCTGACTAGTATCAATGTATTTAAGCTTAATATCACCCTTCTCAAAGATGATCCTCGAAAATGATGACGAACCTCAATGTGTTTCGTCTTAGAGTGAAGCACAGGATTCTTTGCAACACTTATAGCGCTAGTCTTTGTCACACAAGAGAGGAACACGAGAAAAGCGACAAACCAAAATCGTGAAGGGTAGCTATCATCCATAAAAGTGAGAACAACAACTAGCAAAGCAGACAACATACTCACCTCTCTGTAGTAGATTGAGCAACATTAGATTGTTTTCTAGAGGACCAAGAAACAAGCGAAGAACCCAAAAATTGGCAAGTACCGATGTAGACTTTCTATCCAAATGACACCCAACCAAAATCAGCATCCGAATAACCACACAAACCGAGAGTTGAAGCGCAGAGAGTACCAAAGGCCAAATGCAGGAGTAAATCGAAGATACCTCATTATGCGCTTCACCTTTGACGGTGAGAAGTCCTGGGGGCCTTTGAAAACGAGCACACATACACACTGACAAAGTGTATATCCGGCCTCGTAGCGAGCCAAGTGCAAGAATGACCCAATCATGCTTCGATATTCCTTCCGATCCACGGGCTCTCCGTCCTCATCAGCATCCAAAGCAGGGCTAGTCGGCATGGGCGTAGAAATTGGCTTCGCATCATCCATCGCAAACTTCTTCAGGACATCCTTCGTGTACTTTCCTTGATGCACAAATGTACCTTCCGAAGTTTGTTTTATTTGTAAGCCAAGAAAGAAATTCAGCTCGCCCATCATAGACATCTCAAATTCTTTACTCATCACATCTGCAAACTTTTTCACAAGAGCATGAGAGGAACCACCGAAAATGATATCATCCACATAAATCTGAACTATTAAAGTGTCATTTCCTTGCCTGAGGAGAAAAAGAGTTTTATCAACTGAGCCCATTTTGAACCCGTTTTTAAGCAGAAAAGTTTTCAATCTAGCATACCAAGCACGAGGTGCTTGCTTCAAACCATATAAAGCCTTTTGCAACTTAAAAACACGATCAGGAAAATTGGGATGTTCAAAACCAGGCGGTTGTTTAACATAAACTTCTTCTTCTATAAAACCATTCAGAAAAGCACTTTTCACATCCATTTGATAAAGCTTATATCCACGTGAAGCAGCAAATGCAAGCAAAATACGAATGGCTTGGGTGTCTCATCCTCGGAATCTGAATCGCTGGAGTCTGACGAGCCACCTGAAACATACTGTCCAAGAGAAGATAACAAAACATTTGCAGCCTTAGCGACTTGCTTGTCAGAGTATTTTTGTCCGCCTTTCTTCCATTGCTTATCCTTCTTCTTCTTCCTCTCCCTGAACTTCTCCTGGCGCCTGGAGGAGTTATTGCCCCGCTCAAAAGATCTCGCTTGTTTGGGCAATCGTGACAAAGTGTCCTCCTCACCACAGTTGAAGCGACCATCCGAGCGTCTTCTATTACGCTTTGTTGTCATACACACGCTTAAACTTGTTGGAGAGCAGTACAAGCTGATCATCATCTAGCACCTCCAACTCCTCATCTGCAACATGACACAAAGAAGACAAAGCAAAACTGGAAACATTTGGATTAGCATTAGTGTTAGTCTTATTTCCAGAAACCAAAGCCATTGGAACGTCAGAAGAAGAAGCAGCTGTGGGATTTTTCAATTTACGCTTAGAAACAATTTCAATCTCTTTTGATTTGAGCTTACTGTAAAGCTCATCAGTGGTGAGAGTCTCATAACCTACAGATTCAACGATCGCCTCAACTTTCATATCCCATTCATCATTAAGTGAATGTAATAATCTGAGAGCCCTAGCATGATCATCATAAGGCATATTGCTATTCATGGCCTTCATCTTATTAACAATCACTTGAAAAGCGTGCAAACATGTCATCAATAGACTCACTAGGCAATTGGCAAAAAGCATCAAACTCTTTTCGGTGAATCTCAAATTTTCGGTTTTTTCACGGTGTTTGAGCCTTCATGATATTTTCTAAGTTTCTCCCAGATCGATAAGCGAGATCTTCACTAGAAACCCGATCATATTCAGTTTTACAAATAGAAGCTCGTAAAATAGCAACAAAGACGATGATTTGTTTCAAGAAGCCCGATCTCGGTGGCGTCGTTCGGTTCCTCAATTTGGAATCACATATGTGGCATTTTGTGTGATTTTCCATAGCTTCAAATGACTTGCCTTTGAGATAGTTGGTCATACGTGCCTTCCCGGTAATCATAATCAGTCCCATCAAAAAGCGGGCGCTTGAACATCAAACTTTTCATTGGTCGCCATAGCTTTCAAAGACCGATTAAGGTATAGAAAACCTAAAGCGCTCTGGTACCAATTGAAGGATCGTGAACAGGCGACCGGAGAGGGTGAATGGTTGCGGAAGCCAAATATTTCTAACAAAAATTTCTAACCCTTCCCCTAAACACAAAACCTGAATAAATCACGTTTTCAAATCGGACAGAACTCTATGTACCTAGTAAACTGATGTGGACGAAAATCCGTAATCTCGATCGACCTAAAAATTTGTCGATTAAACTAGATGAAATTACGAAACTAACCCAACTGGAATCGGACTTACGGATCTTGGGATAAAAATAAAACAAGCAGACTATGTCGATCTTGACGAGAATTGTAAAGAACCAATCGAGATGCACAACATCAATCATTACAGATGAAAGATTAAATTGAGTAATTGAACTTACAAAAGTGCATCTAGCCTCTTGAACATCCTCCCTCTCTTAATCGGAGAGATCAACAAAACCACTCACTAGAATTCAAACCCTAGGCTAGACCAGGAGAGAGGAAAATTGAACCATGGAACCCCGGGGCATGAGTCGCATTCACAGGGTCTGTTCACACGTGCATAGTAACTCGCCGGGAGCCCAAAACGTCCTACCTTCTCAACCCTAGGTGCCACATATTTATATCCCCAAAGGGTGGCACGACCTATTTTCACATAACCCCCTACGCTAAATAAATCCAACGTAGGGGCGTAAATTCCAATTACGTCCTCCATGGCAAATTCCGCGATGTCCGCGATCCCTCCATCTCCGCGATGTGATCCTCGCGATGTCGCCGCACGACCATCTGAAATCGTATCGCGATCGCCAGAATTTTCCATCTTCGGCCAACGCCTGCCGCACGGGCGTCCCGGTACGATGCATGGCTTTGTGGCTCAACCAGCGAACCCCAGATTTTGTGGCATAATCTGGAAACCTCCCTCGACGTCCTCCCGCCATGTAGCCAGGTACAGTAGACGTACACCGCACGATCGCCTATCCCTCGAACGCAAGCCTCGATCCGCCCTTCTCCGCCCCCGCGGTTTTTCGACGCGGCATCCTATCTTCGTTCTTCACTCGTCGCCGCATGTACCTTGT